GTCCAAATATGACAGAAAATAACTATAAAAAAAACTGTGTGTTTATATTTTTGAGATTTTTTGGTTACAAAATAACCTAATTATGTGGTACCTTGTTTTAAATTTATGAAAGTTGAGCTATGAAAGTTGAAAATTTTATCAATTTTTAACTACAAAATATTTATTTTGTTGTAATTTTATAATAATATTAATTCAACTTACCGGCTACCATATTTTTAATAAGTAATAACAAATTTAAATATAATATAAAATATCCACATGACAAACCGTCCCAACTCAGAATCGTTTTTCGTATACAATAATATTATATCATTGAATTCAAATTTAATACCATCCATTAAACTGTGACCCACTTGTAACCTACTGTACAGCAGAGCGACATCCACTTAACCACCTTTTTTTTTTAAATATGGTCTTAAAAATACTTTATTTCTTTTTCAAATTTTAATTATATTTTTTATAATTATTCACTATTTTACTTTCTTCTTTAAGCTAGCCTTTAAACAAATATTTAGGAAAATACATTCAAAATATAAGTAGTAGATAGATTTCGGCAATCATGTAAATCTACTTTTTTCAATTTCTAGAAAATTCATATTAAATAGATATTGTATAGTTTGTATAACATTTTATATTTTAGGTCAAATTCCTATATAATTTTTTTAAATTAAAATATGTGAAAAATGTATTTAAAATACAAATACAGATAACAAAATATATACAATTAGGTAGATCTGAATATGCAAAAAACTGCAAAATTAATGATTCAATTGCCTCAACCTCTTAGTTCTATAAAAAAATTCTATATTACTAGCTGTGATGATTATTTAAAAACATGTAAGCTCCTATAAGTTCCTAGCCCTACTTCTTAGTTATTACTGAGGTTATTCGCATTACTTATAAATAAATAATATATATATACAGGGTGATTCTTTTATCATTGAACACTCATTATTTCAAAAAGTATTAATGTTTAAGAAAATATTTTTTTACATAGTTTCAAGTTGTTAAAAAACAATATTTTTATTAAAAAATTATATTTTAAATATTTTTTATCCTTTTAATTTTTTAAGTTTTTTACTTTTTTGAATGACAACATGTAATTTTAATTTAATATTCAAAAACAGAATATTTTTCTGAGTATTTCGATACATAAAAATTGAATTTAGGGCAATTAGTTTATGAGTTATAAGTATTTAAAGTTTAGTTGAGCGGAGTAGAGTGGTACGGGGTTACCCCGCGAAATGTTTGTCCACTACTCCGCTCATCTAAACTTTAAATACTTATAACTCATAAACTACTTGCCCTAAATTCAATTTTTATGTATTGAAATACTCAGAAAAATATTCTGTTTTTGAATATCAAATTATAATTACATGTTGTCATTCAAAAAAGTAAAAACTTAAAAAATTAAAAGGATAAAAAATATTTAAAAATATAATTTTTTAATAAAAATATTGTTTTTAACAACTTGAAACTATGTAAAAAAATATTTTCTTAAACATTAATACTTTTTGAAATAATGAGTGTTCAATGATAAAAGAATCACCCTGTATATAAATTGAGCCTAATTTATTTTATAATTAATAATTATATATTTATATATTCTCATGTTTTAATAATAATTTAATTGTTCAATAATATTTTATGGTCCAATCCAATACATATTATAGCAAAAAATTATGATTTTAAAATATAACATTTTATTTTTTTATTTTAACCACCTACCTATTCTTTTTTATGTACATAAAAAATTACTATTGAGGAATGCGATAATACAAAAAATAATATAAAGTACATAATAATTGTTTTTATACTAAATATTACATCAACTCAATTAATATAGAAAATTAGATAATAGTAACCTAAAAATCCTGACCCTAATAAACAAATAGTATAAGGGTATAACTATTGGTAAATAATACCTATTGTTTAACATATTATAGAATAGCACGGTACAGAATTTAATTATGGAAGAAGATAACCTGAACGAAAATGATCCATTTAAAGAGGCCGAAGACCACCTAGGTATAAAAGTTCCAAAAGGCTTAAAAAAAATATTTGTGATGAATGGTTTTGATAATAAAAATATAATTGCTGAAATAAATGATAATGACATTCTTGACACTGAAAATTTTGCTAAAACAACTTTATTGGATATAATTGACGAAGACCAATATAATGAATACTTTGGTATTTTTAAGAATAATGTTGCAAAGTTTTAATTCCTTGGAGGCCACAAAAAACAGCTGAAAATGGTTATTGATTTTTATAAAAAAGTAAATTATAATGAGAAAAATCAACAGACTGGTATGAAAAATTTTCAAAAGTTAGGATCTATGACAAAAGAAACAGATATGTCTAAGAAAATCATAAAAGAAAACCACAAGGAGGATGAAATTTTAAAAATTAACTTACACGAGGAAAAAAAAGTATTGAGCGTAACGTTTTACAGTGGATGAAACAAAAACTAAATCAAAGTTCTATGGAAAATCCTGATCAAAATTGTGAGGAATTACTAAGTAATTTAATTGTTTCTGTTGAATTGGATATTAATAGTCCAAATGATTTAAGAAGTTATATTAAATGTTATTGTGGAGTACAATCAAGTGTTTCTAAAAGAGTAACAGCAGGACACATAAAGAAAACTTGGATTTTAGGTAATTTTTATAGACATCTCTTAACTCACAACAAATTTAATCCTGAAGTAAAAAAAACAGTCAAAAGTCCAAAAAAAATGTTTAAACAAAATAGTGTTAGCAATTATTTTATATCAAGTCAAAATAAAAAATTTGAAACAGAAACCTCAATAGAAAAAATAAGTTCACCTAGTTCATCTTCATCGAAAATTGAAAATTATCATAAACCTTGTTCATCTACATTAGATAACTCACCAATTAAAACATATAATAATTTAGAAACACATTGTACGCCATCACCAAGCACAAACAATGAAACAACTGAGCACACTTCAAAATGGAAGGATTTTAAATACAGCCGTTCTCAGAGAGAAAAGAGAGCCAGAGAAAAACATTTGATGAAAGATGGTGAAAAACAACTATTGATTACAAATTTTTATGAGTTTGTTGACCAAGTGGGTAATTTTATTAAACAAAATAATTCATTGCTTGAATCTATTGAAGATCTAGAAAAAAGTACACCGATTTGGACAGAGACACAAGTTGAATCAATTTTCAAAAAAACCAATACTAGTGTATTATTGAAGGCTTTGTGTAAAGCATCATTAAGAAATGTAAATTCTAAAAGTAAACATTGTAATAGGTATGATGACAGCCTTAAACAGTTTTGCGTTTTTCTCTATTTTGTTGGTGGAAGGTTGCTGTATGAAACCTTACAAGCAAATTTAACTAACTCTTTACCTACCATTACTACTTTAAATAGATTTATTTCATTAAATAAAGATAATATTGTAGAAGGTGAATTTAGGTTTGGTCAATTGAAAGAATTTTTGGAGAAAAATAAACTACCAATGTGTGTGTGGATTAGCGAAGATGCAACACGAATAACGAGTAAGATAGAATACAATTCCAGTAGCAATAAAATTGTTGGTTTCGTAATGCCATTTAAAAATTGCATGGCTGAAGTTGATGCTTTTTTAGCTACTTCAGCCTATGCAATAGGGTCATATTTTCAAACCAACACAAAAGCTGACTATGCTTACACTATAATGGCAAAACCATTAGAAGATGCAGCTCCACTGTTTTGTTTGAGCGTCTTTGGCACTGACAATAGATTCAATTTTTCTGATGTTATAGATCGATGGGATATTATGAACAAATTAGCAGAGGATGAAGGTATAAAAATTCTTGGATACTCATCAGACGGGGACACACGGTTACTAAAAGCAATGCAAATACAAACTTATAAAAACCAAAATATGTGTATGCCGTACTATGTACAAGATACTGTACATATTGGCACTAAACTAAGAACTCGATTTTTAAAACCAGGTGTTATATTACCAATTGGTAATTACATAGCTTCAGCCACCCATTTGCAAACCCTAATTGAAATATATTCAAAATACAAACATTTTCTTACTCAAACAGACATTAGTCCTGAAGACAAAATGAATTTTAACTCTGCGAAAAAAATGTGCTCACCTGTAGTCATAGAAATGTTGAAAAATATCAAAGACAGTCAAGGAACAATAGCTTTTCTTAAAGTAATGAATGATATTCTATTGTCATTTTTAGACAAATCAATTACTCTTGAAGATAGAATTTATAAAATATGGTATAGTTTTTTATTTTTTACGCATCTGGAGATACTCTATATTAAAAGATCAACAATTTACTTTAAAAAATAATTTCATTACAACTAATTCATATTCATGCATTGAATTGAATGCACATTCATTGATACAATTAATAAAAAAATTTAGAGATAATAATTATAGTCTACGGCCATCTATGTTTATACCTTGGTCATACAGTAGTCAAGCTTGTGAAGAAATGTTTAGAACCGCAAGATCGATGACATCAACTTATTCAACTATGATTAATTTTAGTATGAATGATATACTAAAAAGATTAACTAGGATTCAGCTCTTAAATTCCATTCAAAATGACCTTCATGAAAACCAGAAAGACATTATTATAAATGAATTAAAAAATAACAATACAATAGAAAGTTCTGTCTCAAATTTCAGTCAATCAGATAAGTTCAACTTTCCTCGATTAGAAAAACATAATAGAAATTTTATAAATTCTACAAAAGTCCAGGAAAACATCTTTTCAGTTGAGAGTATGAGTGACGATGTTATTGATAGTATACTTGCCACAAGTTTAAAAAATGCAAAAGAAATGGCAACAAACTTGGGTAATTATAAATAATTTAAAATGCTATAGTTATTTTTTTTTAATGTTTGCTATTTTTTTTTTTTTTAAGGTATACAAATATATGAAGATTCTTTGTTAAGACCTCAGTATTTATCAAATGCAGTTCTTCAAAATGTAAATGAAGATTAAGATGAACTTATGGATGAAAATCTATCATCATCTGTTAGCATGACAGCTTCAATAGTTAATGACATTTCAGAAGATACATTTAAGGATTTAAGTAATATATCAGAATTTTGTGATTTTGGTAGTGCTTTAAATTTAAAAGATTTTTCAATATCTGACAAATTCTTAAACACTTTATATTTAAATCAGAAAAAAAATTTAGGCAGCGATAATATTAATTCTCAAACAGAGTTTGTTAATGTATCATTAGATGAAGATTCAATGACAGTAGTGAAAAAATCTAGCCTTTGCTGGCTGTTTGATAATAAAAATAAAAAAGTAAGCAATGATCGGCTACAAAGGTTTATAAATAATAAGCCTGGTAAAAACTACAATACAAACAAAAGGAATAAGCAAAAAGTACCCTCACACAAAGATAAATCCGAGGATAAATCTAAATCCATTTACAAAAAACAAAAGACCAAAGTATTTTTTCAAGATTCAGATGACTCTGATGTGGAGTTAAAATTATGTGTTAATGGACCAGATAATAATGATGTTGTTTTGTTGGATTCAAAAGAGTTACAAGTTACTAACACCGAAGAAGAATATAAAAAACCGGCATGGAATGACATTAAGCCAGGAGTTTATTTATTAGTAAGATTTATGGGATACAATAAAAAACCTCGTAGAGAAGAAACAAAATGTCAGTATGTTTGTTGTGTGATTAAAGTAGAAACTGATGAAGATGAAGGTATCATACAAGTTCAAGGCATGGCAAATGAAAAAACAAAAAAACATTTCTCTATGAAAGAAAATGACACTTCGTGTATTAGTATGGATATGGTTTTAACAGTTCTTCCCGAACCCATACTTGTGCAAGACAATAGAAAATTATTATATGTCTTTCCCAAAAACATTGATGTATATGAAAAATAATATTAATTAAAAGCAAAAAATAATTTTTACATACTTAACTTTAATATATTTTGTTGTTTTAATTAATTGATTATGTATAATATTAATGTGTAGGTACCTACCTAGGTAGGTAGGTACTTTATTGTAATTTTATATTAAAAAATATTTTAATTATTTTAAAACATAGGTTTAACTGAGGGTATACATTTTATAAAATAATAAATTTACATAGGTAGGTACCTATATAATGTGTGTGTATTCAAATACTTTTTTATGTTGGTATTGAATATGTTTTTAAATATTATGAGCCTCAAAGTATTTTCAAAAGTAGGTATTTTAAATAATTTTTTTGAATTAAATACTAATTCATTATGAATAATTTTGGTTTTGTTCTTGAACATTTTATTATTGTATTGCCTACTCTAAGAATAGATTTATTTGGTGTTAAGTGATGGCCAAAAGACATGTGAAACCTAAAAATATTTAAATTTTATTGGTAATCATAGCTAATCAATGGTAATCATAGCTAATCAATGGTAATCATTGGTAATCCAAGGTAATCATTGATAATCATAGGTAATCATTGGTATTCATAGGTAATCGGTAATCTGGTGTACACAAAAGTTAACAGTGGTTTACCCCTCGCTTGGATCCTAGATATTTTAAAAGAATAAATTAAGATCCGAGTGTGATCCCACAAGGAGCTTTACAGTCCTTAGCAAAAATGAGTAGTGTTGAACGAGATTGTTTTGTTGATCAATTAATATATTTTGCTCTCATAGCGGAACAATTAAAAACGTTGACACAAACGTTGCTACAAATGAACACTCAAAATCGTTCGAGGCACGTTCAAGGGCGCTTGAGGCAAGTATGACACGTTTTTTTTTATTGAAACTCGTCAGGCAGAAGCACAGCTGCCACACAACAACGTTGTCCCGCGGTTACACAACCACCCGTCACCTGAACAGATAACAACTCGTACACACGAGGATTACCAGTCAGGCAGGTCTTATGGGTACAATGACGGCGGTGCTCAACAGAGCACCAGCCACATTGCCGCCGCAAACAACAGACCGTTTTTCACACGCGAAATTCATAAGTCATAACTTCAGTCGTTATTCAGACGTCGTAGCGTACGGTTCTCTCAGTACTTTATCTTTTCAACTAACGATATAATTTATTTTAGTGTTAACTTTATTGAACTTGTACGGAATAAGTACTTTTTGTTATCATAACATTTGATTATCTTTTCACAATGTCCACTTCAACCAATGAAACGCTTGATACCAAGGAGACTCTCAAACAAATTTTGGATACGGTGAATGAACTTAAATCTACACAAAACAAAATCATTACTTCTATTAATTCATGCCGGGAATCTAACAAAACCCAGGAAAAAAAGTATGTTATTATTGAGTCTAAATTAGATACCCTATCAAATCAACTAGCTGAAGTTATTTCTGAAAATAAAACCTTAAAAGCTAAAATTGAGCAGATAGAAGGCAAAATAACAACTTTAGAAACTACGGCTTCCCCTGGAGCTAACGTTGAATCGTTTTACTCTGAACTTATGGACCGCCAATCTCGAGCTCGTAATATAATATTTTTTAATATACAAGAATTTAATTCTTTACCTGATCAGTTAACTGACACTCTTACTGTTGATGAAATACTCAAAAGCATTGATTTAAAAATTAATCCAGTGTCTGTCCGTCGCTTGGGCAAACAATCAAATAAACCACGTCCTCTGCTTACTACTTTACCAAATTCATCCGATGTCTTTGAAGTCTTAAAAGTAAAACGTAAATTACTTAGTACTGCTAACTTCAAGGATATTCGCATTGCATCGGATCGGACAACTCAACAACGGCAATTTTTCACTAAAATTGTATCTCAACTTAAACAACGTAATGATAACGTCGAAGATAATTTATTTATCAGATACATCAACAATGTTCCTACTATCTCAAAAAACTTATAACATCAACTACTTCAAAAAATCTTTCTGTTTATTATCAAAATGTCCGCGGTCTAAATACCAAATTAGATGTATTTATACGTAACCTAGCACTTCTTAATTATGATTTAATTGTATTAACTGAAACCTGGTTATCTCGTTCTGTTAATGACTCTGAACTTGGACTTTGTCCTCATTACTCCGTTTTCCGATGTGATCGGTACGAAATTCATGGTCCCGACATTCGAGGAGGTGGTGTCTTAATTGCTATCAAAGTAAAATATCCATGTCATCGCTTAATTATACAACAAGATTTAGTGGAGCAACTATTTGTAAAAATACATATAAATCACATTTCTCTAATTGTCGGTTCCGTGTACTTCCCGCCGCGCTCTGATTTAAATTTATATAATAGCCATGTTAATGTTATCGATAACCTCATGAGTAAATATTATAATGATACATTTTTGTTGTTAGGTGATTACAATTTGACTAATGTTAATTGGGTCTCTAATAACCAAAAAATTATTCCCAGATTGTCAAATAATAATTTGTATGAATCAAATATCATATCTGCCTTATCTTATGTTAATTTAATGCAAAACAATTTAATACATAATTCTTCTGGGTCATTACTAGATCTAGTTTTCTCAAATATTGTCAATGTTAATGTTTCCCCCGAAACTTCTCCTCTGGTCCCTCTAGACTATACATTTCATCCTGCATTAAAAATTACACTTCCACTTTCATCCACAAAAAACAATTTATATTATAATGAAATTGTTCATGATTTTATCAATTGTGATTATAATGTCATTAGGTCTTGTATGGCCTCAACTGATTGGAGTTGTACATTTAAAGATTTACATATTAATGAAGCACTTGATATATTCTACTCCAAATTACACGATATAATTAATGTACAATGTCAAAAAAAACGTATGTTCTCCACAAAGTATCCTTTATGGTTTTCCAAAACTCTAAAACATTTAATTTTCTCAAAAAAAATTGCCCATAAAATATATAAACAATCTCCAACTAATGTAAATTATAATATATTCTCTAATCTACGTGCTCAATGTAAAGTTGTTAATAAGACCGATTATGGAAATTTTATACAGAGAACTCAAAGTTCAATAGCCTCTAATCCTAAAAGGTTCTGGAATTATATTAATAGCAAACGATCAAATTCTAATATTCCATCTGTTATCTCATATAATAATCAAAGTGTTACTGGTGGTGACAAAATCGCGGAAAGTTTCGCCAATTATTATTCTACTATTTACCAACAATTAAATTTTATGCAAAAACCACCCGATGACATTAAATCGATGAAAGTCGATTTGAACACCTGCTTCATTACTTTAAGCGATATTTATGATGAGTTAAGCAGCTTAAAATCCACTACCTGTCCTGGTCCTGATAGTATTCCGTATACTTTCTTTACTAACTGTAAATGTGTTCTGTCTATCCCTTTATTATACTTATGTAATACATCACTTAAATCCGGTGTTTTTCAGGATAAATGGAAAATTTCTTATATTAAACCGATTCCTAAAGGGGGAGATCTTACTTTAGTCACTAATTATCGCCCAATTTCTATAATTTCGATTATCCCTAAATTGTTTGAAAGTATTGTACACAAAAAAATCTTTCCGTTATATAAAAATATTATCTCTGATGTTCAACATGGCTTCATGCCGGGTAAATCAACCACCACGAACTTACTAGTACTCCAAAATTACATCCTACAAGCTTTCAGAACTGGACTCCAAGTTGACGTTATTTATACTGATTTCTCCAAGGCGTTTGATAAAGTAGATCATTGTGCTCTTAGCTCTAAATTATTTAATCTAGGTATACGTAATTCTTTTCACTCGTGGTTAGTTTCATTCATAACTGGAAGACAGCAATATGTAAAATGCATGAGTTTTAATTCTTCATTATTTAAAATTAACACTGGTGTTCCTCAGGGATCACATTTAGCTCCACTTCTATTTAATTTATTTATCAATGACATCGAATTTTTAAACTCTAATAAGTTACTATATGCAGATGATATGAAAATTTACCGTATAATTACATCACCAGCTGATAATTTGCTGCTCCAGGATGACTTAACTCGTCTTAGCACCTGGTGCACTCAAAATAATTTATCCTTAAACATAAACAAATGTATGATCATAACCTTCTCTAAAAACCGTACACCTACTCTATATAATTACTACATAAACAACATTAAATTAGATCGAGTCTATCTATACAAGGACCTGGGAATTTATTTTGACCCATCTCTTTCATTTAATGATCACTATATGTATATCCAAAATAAAGCCTCTTCGATGTTAGGTTTCATAAACCGCAGCTGTAAAGACTTCGTCAATCCTTTAGCTTTAAAATCACTCTACTGTTCCTTCGTCAGATCATTACTCGATTATGGATCTATAGTATGGTCCCCACAATCAATCGGTGCTACAAAAAGCATTGAATCAATTCAAAACCGTTTTCTACGTATCATTCAATTCAGATGTTGTATCGAACGTGCACCTCACTCATCATATCAACCATTATTGTCGTATTTAAAGCTAGAAACCCTTGTCAACAGAAGGAAAAGACTTGATCTATGTTTTATTTTTAAATTAACGAATGGGTATATTAACTGTCCTGAACTACTTTCTTTATTGAATTTTAATATTCCAAATCGTAGAACTAGGCAATTATATACTTTTTATGTACAACTCCAGCGTTCAAACTATGGTCAAAATGCTCCTATGAATAGATCTATGCAACTTGTTAATTATTTAAATGTTGATCTATTTTCCTGCGTTTCCTTAAATGATTTTAATTTTTACATAAATAATGTTTTAGCTGTATAAATGTTATAATCTATGTCAATATCTCATTAAGTCGATTTCCAATGTTAAACAACTTTACTCTGTATTCTTAATCATTTTTGTTTCAGTGAATTATTTTCAACCATAAGTGTCTCATCACATACATTACTTAAACCTGTCTATTTACCAAATGCACACTATCTGTATAGCTGTCATATTAAAATATTTAA